AAATGAATCATTTTCATTGAAATTGGATCACATTTTGTTATGCTTAAAATGTTGACAACCACTGACTATAGATTTCTTTAGACCAATTGTTATGTGAGAGTCTTATCGATCATTCTAGAACCCACGAGAAACACACCGCTAGTATAGGAACAGGTAACAGGCCACATGACTTGTCATTTCTGGACTAGTATTTGTTTGTGCATGCACTTTGACATTTTTTTCCTTCTCAATATTATTTAACCATTGCTATGGCAACGAGAGGTTGTGTAAATGACCCAAACGTATTCTGTTATATTTCTGGTAAATTTGTTGTAAAGAAACAAAGGCAAAACATTACAGAATTCATCAAAAAAGCATATTATAGGGACCAAGACAAATCATGGGTTCCACACAAAGTTTGCACCATTTGTGTTGAAGAGGTGAGACAATGAACTAAAGGTAAGAAAAAGTCTTTGCCTTTTGGAATTCCAATGGTCCGTCATGAGCCTAGAAATCATGGAGATGACTGATATTTTTGTTCATGTAACATGCAAGACTACAACACTCGAAATAAAAAGGAAATTTCTTATTTGAACCTTCAATCTGCTATAAGACCTGTTGCTCATGGACCTGATGTACCTGTACATACTCCACTGGAGACTTTTGATAGTTTCATTTGATTCTGAATCTGATGTCAATAGAAATGATGATAGGGATTGTTTTCAATTGCCAGCTCTTTCAGAAGCGAAACTTAAAGAAGGGATTTTTGTTGGGCCTCAGATGAACAATTTGAAAGGACAATGAGGAAAGTTGAAAAAGAAGCATGGATTGCCTTTAAAGATGTTAATGACAAACTTTTAGGAAACAACAAGGACCCCAATTACGAAAATATTGTCAATAATATGTTCAATAAATTCAAAGAGTTGGGTTGTAATATGAGCTTCAAAATTCATTTCTTACACTCACATATTAACTATTTCCCTGAAAATCTCAGTGCCGTCAGCAAAGAACAAGGGGAAAGGTTTCATCAGGGAAATGGAGAGGAGGTATCAGCATGATGGCTGATTACTGCTAGTCATTGAAACAAGATGATCCAGACACAATACATAAAAGAAAGGCCACAACATGTAGGTTGAGATTAAAAGATGTAGATTTCACAAAAAAAAATCAGGATGAATGAGGATGCATGTTCGTTTGCCATCAATGTTCTTCCCTTTTCTTCAGTTTGTTTGTATTTTTGTTAACAAATATAATAATAAAAAATGTTCATTGTGGTAAACGAAATAATAATTTAATCTATGTCAGAATTATTTTTTTTGTTCCAGATTTGTAAAAAATCCTTACATGATGGGAAAAAAAAAATATCATTTTTGAAATCCGCATAGCTGAATTATCAAAAATCCATTATTAAAACTAAAACAACTTTTATTAAGTTTAATTCACAGGCCTGTGTCATTAATATCATTACTGACCTGGATCGCTAACAGAACTGTTGTGTGGAGTTCCAGAGTACTGGCTTTGATTACTGTTACAGGATTGTTGGGAGGGTGAATGGGGACAGGCATCTCCATTCATGACTGGTACGTGATTAGGCTCCACTGTGGTCATAGGTGCAGTGCTAGGCCCAGGAACAGCAGTGGCCTGATTCTGGGTGAAATAAAATCATCTGATTACAGATGAACCATTCAAATCACTCGGTCTATGACTGAGAACTTGATACTAGGTTTATTTCGTAAAGAACATAAGGTTAGGATATAATACTCTCAGGAGAACTACACATTTGCTTTATTTCAAAGATGTTTATCTTTATATCTGTTGTTTCAGAAATAAACAAAAAGGGCTAACTGAACATGGCTGTCCTTAATTTTGAACTAATAGACTAGGGAAAGCAGCTAGTCAACAGCACTCACTATTAATGCCTGAGACACCCTTGTCTGATCGATTAATGGGATTTAAATATTACTCACGATTCAAAATTTTGGAGCGTTTTTTTACAGAAATAGATTGTGAACCATTAATCCTTAGATTCAAAGTCTGGACATGTCATGCTTATTTCAAAGGAACAAAGTGACTGTGTGATTACTGTTACAGGACTGTTGGGAGGTTGTGTTTTTTCTTATAGCAAAGCCACATCAGGCTATCTGTTGAGACCACCGAGGAGAACTGAACCCCCGATTTTAGGTTGTAAATCCATAGACTAAACGGGGATAAACATCTCCATTCATAACTGATTAGGCTCATCTATGTCCAGGAATAGCTGTAGCACTTGCAATGAAGGAGCTTCAGCTGAATTATCATGAACATCATTGCTAAAGAATTTCAACAGTATCAGCTGACTTTGACTTTATTCTTTAGTGAAAAAAAATCAATCTAAACGTTTGTAATTTAATTACTTTTTTATGTTAAAATACTTATCTCATAATGATTAATAATTTTTTTGCTTCAGAATATAATCATCTTTGTATCTTCAAGTTATTGAAAAAAAAATCAATCTAATACACTATCAAAATTTCTGATTAAAGCAATCTATTAGTATAGATCACAACTTAAGATCAATCCAGTAAGAAAAGTAGCTAGTTTAATATACCAGTCTAACTATGAACATGTATTATCATAAAACAAATACTTAGAAATGCACTAAATCATCATCGATAACCACAATAAATATTTCATAAGGTTCTGCAGGTTTACTTAAAACTAAAGGATAACTTTAAAACAGAAAATTGGGTGACAGTAAAATCATACATACTGTAAAAATTACAGAAACTTTATTTAGGTATGATGTACAACTGAAGAATTATATACTAACTTGAAATGACAATTTAAACTTCAAATGTAAGAAACTTAACTAAAATTTACTTAATGAAAGAAAAACTATCAGTACATAGTTTAAAAGTGTATGTGGAAGATATCTTAAGTAAAATTATGGGTCTCGGAAATATTCACATTGCAAAAACTTAACTTCAAACTAGCTACATAAACAAATTATAAAAATTTAAAAAAATAGCTGTTATATGTATATCACACGAAAAAGCTTACTTTTATTAAGCTATTGACTGGAAATGGTGCTCTATTTGGGAAACCCATATTATTGTTATCAGCTACAAGAACTGGACTGCTACTTGAAGAAGAGTCTCTTGCCCTAGTAGATAAAAAAAGAAAATTAAACATTTACATGTATTTTTAAATTTCTCATAAACTTCACAAAAAATACCCTAAAATAGTGTTGTAGCCTATATATAGATATTTTTTTAATCAAGACATTCCTAGAGATTTGTATTGTTTTTTTAGCTGGAAAGAAATTTAACATGATGTGATTGACATAGATTTAATGTCTGGATTTTTCTTCAAAGTTTAGGAAATAATATGAGCCATATATAAAAGATACTTGCTAGAGTGTCTTAAGTTTGTTCAAGGACTACAATTCAATGATTGGTTGATAAGTTTATTATAGAAAAAAATCAGACCTTCTGTTTATGAAAAACAAGCTTACTTTTGAACTTCCATGGCTTCATCTGCTATTTGTTGGCCTATCTTGCCTGCTCCAACTCTTGTACCTAAAAACTTCTGAATTGTGTCACTAGTGGATGCATCACTAGTTGAGGGAAAGACAGAAAGCACAGCATCAAGACTGTCGGAGTTACTATTGAGCATTTCTTCAAGGGTGGCATTTGAACTTTCTACCACTGCTAAGTTTGCTGCACTACAGGAATCACGGGAAATGTACCTTAATAAAAAATAATGGCATTAAAAAAAGTATTTTAAAGTGCCTAATGCTTTTCCAGCAATATTTAGTTTCCACCGTGTGCAAATGATTTGGATAGGGTAGATTTGAAATATATTAGTCACAAATCAACTCATTTTCCTGCAAGAAAAGTCCTTGAAAGTGGGATTACATAACAGGTGTGTGTGGTAGTAGTATTAGGTTTAAATGACTGATAAATTACAAAGCTGATCTGTGATCAATAATTAGGGGTGTATTTATAAAAACAGATAATTGGAGACATGGTGAGAGGCATGTAAATGAGGAGTTCACAGAATTGGTAAAGGAGATCACCAAATTACAAAGCTAATCTGTGATCAATAATTAGGGGTGTATTTATAAAAACAGATAATTGGAGACATGGTGAGAGGCATGTAAATGAGGAGTTCACAGAATTGGTAAAGGAG